ATATATATATATATATATTTAATATATGTGTAATTTAATTTTTTTATCAATTAACTTTTTTTGTTTATTACAGCTGTTACATACAATGGAGAATTACACAAAAGAAAACGACATTGATGTTTCCTTTTCTCTCTACCTTATGACAGTAAGCGTAGTATCCTCTTTTATTGGTATAATTGGTGTATGTGGAAACGCTTTGGTTTTCGTAACGGTTTACTCTATTCCGTCCCTTCATACGGTTTCCAACGTACTTCTTGCGAGTCTCTCTTGTGCAGATTTTCTATCGGCGATTATCGGAACACCTATGGCAATATACGTGAATGTATATTCAGGAGTAACTTTCAGTGACACTTCAATAAAAGGTGATGCGTTCTACATTCCACTTTATATATCATGTCCTATTTCTGTATGGCATCTATTCTTTATTTCTCTTGATCGGTATTTTGCAATCTCTTATCCATATAAATATCAGTCCCATGCAACGATCTACCGAGCATCTTACTTCATCATACTGGCGTGGGTGATTGGAATTACCTGGGGCCTAGTGCCTTTGTTTGGTGGATTAGAAATAGACGAGGACTGCCTTCCAAACATTTGTAAAACTTACAGCGAATCGGCCATTCGAGTTTACGAGATAATGAGTGCAGTTGGTTTAATGAATACATTCATTATAGTTGTGTTAATTTATGCTAGAATATTTTTCATTTCAAAAAAACTGGCGATTAATGTGCGGGATATACCAAGACAAGGCGTGTCATTGCCATTAAATACTAACGAGCAGGCGTCTTTACAGAAGACTATTAAAGCAACCGCAATGGTAGTCGGAGGGTTTTTCATCTGCTGGTCGCCAATGTTCTTCTATATAATACTACACTTTGAGCATGTGACCGACAACGTATCGCTCAATATTCTTAGAGCATTTGCCGAAATTAAGTCTGAGTAGCACTTCGATAAATCCGTTTATTTACAACTTTAAGTTAAAGAGTTTTCGAGATGGCTTTCGACGATCGATCAGAATGTTGAAACGCTAATCATTTTTATTAGTAAATTGAATGATTTTTAGAATTATTGATCGTTGTTTGGTTGGTTGAATAATTTATTGATTGGTTATTTTACTAAATATATAAACAACGGTAGATCGGTTTGTCATTTGAACTGATAGTGAAATGAATGTTCACTCAATTGCGATCTACTTCAAGCAGTCTGATTTATCGTGAAAGGTTTATCAAGTAAATTAGTCATGTTCGATTTATTGCCATTTGTTATACAACACTGAAGTTACAAATGTGGCGCTCTATAAAAGAAAAATACATGAAACTCATAAATTATAAATTAAACTACAAAGGTAAGAAAAAAAAAATTCATCTAAGAAATAGAGATTCAACTGGTAGCCTGGTAGCAGCGTTTAGCCTTATCAATATCTGCATGCTCTCTAAAGTCTTTGATCATCAATATATATTGATATACTAAGAAGGAGGAAAAGAATGTCGTAAAATTTAATAAATACGTTGACTTTTCCAAGTCACACGTATAACAAAATTAGACTCGGCGGACATGTAGAAACAGATTCTTGAGAACACCAAAATAAAGCTTTAGAAAAACACCAAGACGAGTTAAGAAATTTGGAAAGGCATAATTTGCTTTATAATTTTGGTCTGAATAAATCACAGATAAAAAACACAAGGAACATTGTGAATGAAATTATTTTGAGCCAACTTGGTCTGAGCAATGGTAGAAGTGACTCATCGAGATGGCCTGCGCAATGGCGTAAACACAGATCAATCATTTTCAAGACGCATTTGCTTATTGAAAAGGAATCCATTGTAAAAAAACATTTGCGAAAAAATGTGGCCTGTTTATTGAAGCTTACTAATTGTTGAAGATAGAAAACTTGTGGAGACACAGATCTATTCTAGCAAGGCATATCGGAAAGGAAGACAAGATCAGATTCTCGAAGGGCAAGCTGTACTGTATATTAACGCATATTATTTTATGAAGAACACTGAAGAAGTTTGCGGGCACAGTTCTGGTTTTCCTCCCTTTACCAACCGACTTTGTTAATGATCAGCTAAACCTATAGAGTCCTGTAGACTATGGAGCGCCCGCAGTGCCTTCTGCGGCGACTTTTCGTTCGACTCAAATGGCATTTGGCTGCAACTTTATAATTCGGCGGCGGCTTTTCGTCCCTCACAAGTAGCATTAGACTCCGACTTTATCATTCGGCGAATCTAGCGTTTGGCGACTGCATCATTCTGCGACTTTAGCATTCAGCGACTATAGGCCTAATCGAAAACGGTAGGCCTACTTTTCAACGTCTGTGTATAAAAGTTAACTTTCTAAACCGTTTAAAATATCTAGTGCTTCCTTCTTGTGCTTTTTACTACTTATATTGCCATGCTATATCATGACCGTAGGCTTTTGGGGTGCGGGGAGTGCCGATGTACACGCACCCCCCCCCCAATTCTATGGGCCTACTGTATATATAGGCCTACCATTTATATAAACTGTACCGTACACTGTAAAAAAATTCTCTGTAAATTTACAGCAAATGTGCAGGCAGCAGAGTTGCCATCACATTTGCTGTATTTTTACATTACATCACATTAATATTTATTTTTTACAACATTTCTGTCAATATATTTTACATCAAAATGTAAAATGACTAGTTGTAAAATAAGAACAAAATAAGAAAATTTTGAGCCCGAAATCGGCCCAATGATAAGAATACCGAGTCTGGGCAATATTCTGTTATTATCCAACAGCGTAAACACAATATGTGTTGTGTTGGTGGAATGCATAATACGCTAATAATAATTAAAAGGCTAAACATAGGGGTATGATTAAATAACTTAGAAACAGGCAAAATGCACAAACACAAACAGAAGCACCAGATTAACAAAATATACAGCTATTAGGTTAGGCTTGTAAGCAGGCGTTGGAAATTACCCGTTTTATCCTATTGGATGGTCGCCAATTGATACAGGCCTATAATCGCCGAACGCTAAAGTCGCCAAATGATGTATGTACAGTAGGCTTTGGCCACTGAATCCTATGTCGCCGAATGATGTAGTTGCCAAATGCTAGGGTCGCTACCAAATGGAACAGTCGCCGCCGCATGACAAATGCGCAGAATACATAGTCGCTGCCGAATGAAAAATTCGCCGCAGCATATGCCAAATGCACCGAATGCAATGGGTCGCCGAATGGGAAATGCGCAGCCGAATGCTATAGCCGCAGGTAAAGGCACTGTGGGCGTTCCATAGTAGACGGGCAAGGTTATCGTTATTTACGTATTGGTTGTTGGAATGATTGGTGGACTTTAGAAGACTTTAAGTGTCTGACAGAGTGTACTGATTTATTTAATCTTTTATATTGTTTGTCTTGTTGAAATGTATTTACAAGAAGATGTGGTTAACTTGTAGCTATGGTATGTATGGTATGTGTTCAGTGGAATAAATTTACATAGAAATGCACGGCGTTGCTTGGGCGGGTGTTGGAATACTTAAAATCGTTGGAATATTATTTGCATTTCAGCTACAGATGGTGCTATTTTATTTTTTGTTAAACGTTTTATTGCGCTATCGGAAGATCTAAATGAAGATTCCAGTACAAAAATCAAATAAACTGGCACTTTAGGAGAATATAAATATACTTCCTCTTTCTTGGAGGAAGTTAAATCCGAGAAAACAAGTATTCCCCTAAAAATTATAATGAAAATATAAGCCTATAGGCCTATGCGAGAGGTCTGCGAATGACTGAAACAAACGGCAGTGGCAGAACGCGGGCGCGTGCCCCAGACCATCGTGAAATATTTCACCTTCCAAAAAGAGCATCGTGTGTATATACTCTTATCAGGATTATATAGACTATAATGTACAGTAGAGGTATATAATGTACAGTAAAGTAAATGAAAGAACCAGTATGTATTGACATAGGCCTAGTGTCTATCTCCCTCTCCATTAAATATACAGTTTATCAGTCTGATATTTTCTGTAAATATTGAACCAGCACTGTTGTCTTAGTACGGTAGTACCTATAAGAGAGCATATGTTTACTGGTTAATAATCTTTTTATTGTACGTTTATTCAGAATATGATTTGTTTTGTTTGAATTTAAAAAAAAACAATATTTATTCTAGTACTAAAAAAAAATTAAAATTAAAAACTAAAATAATAACAACGTGAGCATGCGTGCAATTTCGTTTCTTGTTCACATTTATATTTTTTGTCTATGATTTTTGCATATATTGCTTTTATGATAAATTAAGTTAAATTATAATATATCCCTGATCTTTTCATATCGTAAAACAGGAGATAATTAGACCCTGAGACAGTCGACTAGCAAACACATTTTTCATGTATCTTGAAAAATGTGCGGATCTTGACTGCACGTACTGTAGCCTTTATATGTGTTTCTTTTGAAATACTTGCAGTCAAGGAATTCAGAGAACGCCTTTTTTTACAAAATGGGGTACAGTGTATTTTCATTTTGTGTAAAAATCAATCAATCAATCGATCGATCGACCGATAGATCGATCAATCGACAGACCGACCGACCGATCGATCGATCGATCGATCAGTGGTCTTATTTTTAAACCACCAGAATCCAATGCAGCAAAACCTGTATTCAATAGCGGTGTGATATTAGCTTAAAATGACTAGAATTATAAAATAAATATTATTATAATATTTATCTATTTGTTCTTTATACCGGGTTAAATCATTTTTCCGTTTAATATTGAAGTGATTTTAAAAGACCATTGAAGGGTCTAGGAGAATATTTGAGGTGTTTTGTTCTAATTTGGTTTATAAGGAAAGATATAAAGCAAAATAGCGGAGAGATACAGTATAGGAATTTCAAATAACAAAAATATTTGGGAACTGTCAAATGTCACTTTCAGTTTCACTAATGATATTAAATTAAGATGGTTTCAATACAGAATCATTCACAGGATGCTAGGTATTACATCTTTAGTCAAAATCGGTGTATATGAAAACAATTCCTGTATCTGTTGCAACAAAAGTGAAGAAAGACATTTTTTTCATGTCATGTTAGTTTTCATTTTTGGAATTGTTTTTAATATGGCTTAAAAATACTTGTAACTTAAATATAATACAGGATGAGGAACTATGTTTGTTTGGAATTAGAAACCTTCGAAGGAAGGCAATCAACACTGTTCTAACCCTCTGTCGTTTACACATCGGAGCAAAATGCAAGACACCATTCCTTATATTTTCAATTTCAAATTTCAAATTTATTTCGGGTTAAAATTACAATCAAAATTACAATAAAAAGACAATAAAAACAGAAACAAAAACAAAGAGTGCTGCCAACCCAGGATAACCAAAAGTACACAAAAGTGTAACTATCATGTGGCTCTCCAAGGCAGCACTCAACACACAGAAAACAACACAAAAGATAAAATATATATCATTTAGAAAAATAAAATATTAAATATTAAAAGATTGTAATATAAAATATTATTGCAAGGGATCTCATAATTATTAAGTGACCACGATACAAAATCAGGATCAAACAGGCACATACAGAATTAATGAATCTCAACATTTTGGTGAAGAAATATTTTTGCAACTTTAATGAAATAGTTGCTCGAGAAAAGCAAGGAGCATCTAACTTCATCAGGGAGGGAATTAAAAAGTTTGCTAAAATGAATATATGGGGAAAATTTGTAAGCATCGGTACGAGCGAACTTTTCAATAAACTTAAGTGTTGTAACATGACGGCAATTAACTTGAATATTAGTAACATCAACACAATTTTTCATGTAGAGACAATTAATGATAAAAGATAAATGAAGAATCATGAAACGTTCGTGGA